ACGATGGCCATGGAGAGTTGGGACTGTGGCTTATTAGCCCAACTTGCTGGCTAGAGTCCAGCTCTGGCTGCCCAACCTGGCTCAATGCCTGGCGTCTCAGCTGAGCCCTGCCCACATGCCACCCCACAGTCTGACCTTGGCACATCAGAGGCAAACCCTCATTTGACATACCCCTTACCAGCACTGCTCATTGGCTCCAGCCACACACCAGTCCACTCTCTGGAGACAGTGTCTTTAATCCAGAATTCATTTAGTCAGTGCAGTCATTAATGGAGGAATTAGTCCAGGGTTTTTCCTTGTTTGTTAGCAGTCAAGGTTTTGCTAAAGATCTCTGTACTTCTTGCTTTTCAAACAGCTGCCACAGAACTCAGTTCTCTCTCCTTCATTCTTGATTCCCTCTGGTCTCTTCCAAGCCTAAGAGAAGCCCATATCTGTCTGCCTTTGTGCCAATCCTGTCAGCATGTCCTGATGGTGTCTCTGTGGTGGGCACCATGCTGGGCACGGGTGAGACACAGCTGGAGGTGGATAAGTCAGATCCCTTCCCTGGAAGAGCTTCCAGCCTAGGAAGGGGGTCAGATACCCACAGAGGTAACTTATACTCCAACAAGGTGAGGCCAGAACAGAGGTGTATGCCTACTGCAGTGGGAGGTTCACACCATGGAAGCTACAAGCGCTACCCAGAGGTTTTGCAGGACAAAAGAGGAGCCCAATTGGGCTGGGCCCGTAGTGTAGTGGTTAAGTGCACATGCTCCGCTGTTGGCAGCCCGGGTTCTGATCCCGAGCCTGCACTGATGCACCGCTTGTCAGGCCATGCTGTGGTAGCTTCCCATATAAAAGTGGAGGAAAACGGGCACAGGTATTAGCCCAGGGCCAGTCTTCCTCAACAAAAAGAGGAGGATCGGCATGGATGTTAGCTCAGGGCTGATCTTCCTCACACACACACACAAAAAGGAGCCCAACAGTTGTGCTATAGGATAGAAGGAATTGGAGCAGAGGGGATGGTGTGAACAAAGATGCAGAGTACGACAGGGTATTGAGTGAAGGGCAACAAGGGTGGGGATGGCAGAAGGACCATGGGAAACAGGACTCAAGGCACAGAGTGTGCCCTGCAGATGGGATGCCTGTGGAGGAGTCAAGGCGGCCCTCTCCATGTCAAAGTTGGTTTGCAAACCTGATTCCAAGGCTACAGATTTACCTTAAACCCTGAACTAAAGATCTCTGCAGTTTCTTGCAGAGTCAGCCTTCCAGGATTCTGAGTGCTCCAAAACCAGTAAAATACCACGACCATCTCTAAACTACTACCCTGCGCATTAGGGCTGCCTGAGCCATCCCAACTTACTTCCAATCATAAATGGGAGAAAAATAGCTATTAAAACAATGAAATGGTAGCAAATTGAGGATTCTAGAGGAGGGGAGGATGCTTCTCAGAGGAGGATGCTCCCTTTGTTTTAGATGGTCCTTGGAGCTTTTTGGTTACAAAAAATGAAGCACAAGAGGGTTGTTTAGATGGGAGAGAAGAGACAGAGACAGACATGGATAGTTTTGCTTAATAAATTTTGTGCAGACTTTTGTTTGGCAGTGATTTCCCGTTACCTCTAGGGAGAGATGGCTGCGGGTGAGGGTCGTAGGGGTGGAAAGTATAGAGGGAGTAGAGACAGGGCCAGTGTCCTCGATGTGTGACCTGTTCACAGCCCACTTAGAAGGGCCTAATGCCTGATTTAAAGCTCTGTTGTTGCTGCGTTGAAATTCTTAAGAGCCCTGCATTTTCATTTTGCACTGGGCCCAGCAAAGTATATAGCTGCTCCTGAAAAAAGTGTAGACAAGAGTATATTGGTAAAGGATTAACGACCAGCTCTCTGAAAGATAAACTCTGACTGGTAGCACTGGCCGATTTCCATGATGTAAACATTCCTACCTTGGCCCATTTTAAGCTACCAAAGGGTAAATATCAAGCTTGCAAGATTCTTGAAAATTTCACAACCAACTTGCACATTGGTATGAGCCAGCTCCAGCCCATCACTGGAGGCAGTGCGAGTTTCTTGGCAAATAAGGGATTATGAACACCCCCACCACCAACAAAATGGCAGTTGGGAGCATGTGGAGAGAGGCCAGTGTGAGGAGAGGAGGTCAGCAAGTAATCCCTGTAGCAGGAAAGGCTGAGTGACAGGACGGCAAAGATGTCTTCTATTCATCTTTTAGTTGTTTTCTCTTTCAGTACTGGAAACCCCCTTTACTGTATCTAAGCCTTTCCGAAAGTCTGGTCCATACTTGGCCAGTGTGGGGCTTGAGGACTAAAGCAGTATCCAGTCGGGTGTCATTAGGGCTTTCCTAGATACTCTGGTTCTCCTCCTGGGACTGGGCAGGACTGTACTGCCCAGGACCCTGAAGTCACGTGTGGTCATGTGACTCGCTTTGTCCAATGAAATGTGAGCAGAGCTTCCAGGCACCATTTGCCAGGTTGCTTCCCCTGCCATGGGACTGGTGAATTTCCTGATGGTGGGAGCTCCATCAGCCTGTGTCACTGACTCTGGGTGAGAATGTTGTGGAGCAGAACCCACAATGGACACACAGTGTGATAGAGAAAGCAATCTTTGTTGTTTTAAGCCACTGAGACTTGGGGGATATTTGTAATTGCAGCAGAATCTAGCTCCACCTGACGGACACATGGACTGACCATACGGGTGTAAGGAGGAGTCAAGACTGAGTGAAGACAGCCACTGTGGGAAGTGATACAAGAAGTCAGGAGAGCAGAATTGGAAGCCAGACGTGGCCAGGAAAATGGAAGACCCTGAAAATCCTCAGGAATATGTGGGATAGAGCTTGAGGAATTTTTCTGGCTATCAGGTGGACCATGAGAGCTTGAGGCCATGCAGGTGACACAATGGTTCCTGAACATGCACCTTTTATCTGGCCCGTCTCCCCAACAAGGAAATAATAAGTTGTGGGGTAGGCACAGGCCAAACATCTACAGCCAGGAGACCCAAGGTTAAGCCTGGATTCCAGCGCTGGAAGTGACCTTGGAGTGACCATGGATAAGTCCCTTCCTCTTCTGTGGACCTCAGAGTTCTCAGATCCCTACCAGCTCTGACATTCTAAGACCCTCTGTCTTTGTCACAGGCTTCACTCATCACTTACTTGGCTCCTCAGCACCTCCTGCCTACCTTATGGCCTACTTCCTGGGAAATGGGCTCTGTTTCACATCCCTGGAGACCCTCCAGAGCATACAGGTGCGCTCTGCCCTGCAGGATGTGTATGTGTGAGAAAGTGAGGGAGATTAAGATAGAGAGAGAAAGACAGAGAAAGAGAGAGAGGGAGAGAGAGACTACAGCCAGAAAGCTTTACCAAGCTGATCTTTCAAAGTCTTCTTTAAAAAAATCATTTGCCCTGGAGAGTAATGTACTCAGTTGGAAACGTTGTTCCAAATTCCCACCAAAAAAGCCTATGTTGTCACACTGACACACACACACACACACACAATTTCACTCAAGCCTGACCAGTTTTGTGCTCCCCAGCACCAGGGAGGGCCCTACCCTTAGCACCTACGCCTTCTCTGGCCTATCAACCCCGAAACCTTTCAAGACCATATGCGACATGAACCCATACCCTCTTTGGACATAAAATGACTCACTTTCTACCTGGGTTAATACTGCAAGGTCTATTACAGTGCCAATCACACTCTACCACAATCAGACCTTAAGGGTAGAAACTTCCATCTCTTTACTGCCTACCACAGATCCTGATGTCCATTCATTCATCAAGCCCTTACAGAGTACCTACTATGTGCGAGGCAGAAGGGACACAGTGATAAACGACACCCCAGCCTTCAAGGAGGTCCCACCAGGCTGGGTGAGGGACAGAGACTCAAGGAGCTGGCTCTGATGTGGCATGCTGAGGGCGGGAATGCCGTGGGAGCAGAGGGCACGGAGAACATTCTGGGATGAGAGTCCCCAGGAGGAGGCATTTGAGCTTGGTAGGATTCCACGAGGCAGGGAAGCATGGTAGTGGCAGGGGTACTCCAAACAGAAGACCCAGCATGTGTGAAGGACAAGGGGTGCACAGCTCATAACCATGAAGCACTGGCTGGAGCCCTGAGTGATTGGGGAAGAGGATGAGGCAGTGGCCAGCTGATCTTAGGCAGTTAGTGAATGAGTGAGTGAATGAGACCCTTGATCATGAAGCCACTAACCTTCTTCTGGTCCCTAGACCTATTCCCTGGCCCCTAGCAAAGGACTCAGCTTTGTTTCAGGGATATATGTAGGGCTTGGATAGATCTCAGAATGAACCAGATGGTTTAGACAGAGGACAAGCCCCCATCCCAGGAGCCATGTGAGAAGAGGCTATGAGTAGAGTGGGAAGACTGGCAAGTAGACACACAGACCTGGCTTCTAGTCCTGACTCTGCCACCTCCCAGCTGTGTGAGTTTGGGCAGATGACTTTTGAGTTCTCTGAGCCTGCTTCCTCATTCGATGCTATGAGGATGGTTAAGAGGACTGACTAAGGAAAATTGTCTGACAGCGCCTGGTTCAGGATAGAGGAGGTGTGTGGAATCTGAAACTTTCGTTCAACCTGAAGTTCAAAGTTGATGTGACCATTAATTCACAACTTGGCAGCGGCACCATAAGTTAGCATTGGCAACTTCAGATCTTTGAACATTCCAGGCAGAGCTGGCTTCAAGGGCGTGTGATGAGGTTCTATGCTCAGAAGGCCCCATGCTTCGGGCTTCAAGTTATGCAGTTGCAACCTTGAAGTTCTTAACCATTTCTCTTTGAATTTGTGTTTCAGGAGTAACATCTGATGGAACAATGGAGCACACCCCAGGGGAGTGGAGCCTCAGCCCTCATGTGTTCCTGCCTCCTGCTGCCTCCCTGGGATGCTTTCTCAGCTGATCTCTCCCCACATGCTGGCACCCCAGAACCCATGACCTCCTCTACCCTCTGTCTGGGAGCAAATGGGTGGAGTCAGCCAGGAAGACTCACATCCCACCATGAGTCTCCCTCCACCCTCTTCAGGGTCTTCGGGGTAGGTGCAGAAATGGTGGGTGCAGTGCACACCCTATGTTGTCTCAGGGCATGGTGAGGAGACTGCCTGGGCACTTGGAGGGTGACTCAACACGGGCATCTTGCCCATCCCTCATCAAGGTACCAAGTGTATCATGGCACAGAGGTTAGAGGAGGTTGGAAGTTGAAATTGGGGAGTTGCCTGTCTGCCATGGGTGGGTTGGTGGTCTATGGGAAGTTGAGGTCGACTTCCCTGACTCCACCCAGGGCCTTGCATTTTTCCCTTGCTTCAGACCCTACAAATCATGTAGCCAACCCAGGTTAGACTCTATGTTTCCATTTTGCTGTCCTCAGCTCAGAGTCCACGGTCCTCGTGTGACGTGGCCAAAAGTCTCGGAACATCTGGTGAGCACTGGTGAGATGAGGGGGGAGAGGCAATCAGATCATTCAGTGCAGAGGTAGACAGCAAGTGATGGGCATCTAAGGGACTCAGAGCCAGCGCCTCCCAAACTTTAATGTAAATGGGAATCAAATAGGATGTTATGAAAGTGAAGATTGTGGTTCCAGAGGTCTGGGCAGGGCCTGAGATTCTGCATTTCTAACATGCTCTTGCTTCATGGACCACATATTGAGTAGTGAAGTTCTAGAAGGCTTAACCTAGCAAGAGTGTGGCCTCCAGACCAATGCCCAGTGAGCCCCTGTAGAAGCTCTTATGACAGGCAGAGGGAATGACTGCTTGGAACTGAGCCAGGAGCCCACACTATGACGACCTATCAGGGACTCTCTGTCCCAGGACTCTTCAGCTGATAATGTGGGAATGCTTAGGCAATGTGGGCATCAGTAAAGTAAATCAAAACTCGCCCATAAATAACCTCACTCAATCCCCACAACCTTGTCAGGCAAGTATAAAAAAGCTGTTTTATAGATGAAGGAATGGAGGCACAGAGGATGGGAGGACTCTTGGTTGCAACTCTCAAGTGGCAGAGTTAGGATCTGAACTCAGATCTGACTAAGGCACTTCCCACTCTGCCAGCATCACTAAATTTAAGTTTGGAGGCTGGCCTCGCTGTGGCTGGAAGCTGGTCCCCCTGCCAGTCATGTGCCCCCTTGATCCTGCAGGAGCCCAGGGAGTGAGGTGTTGGGCCTGTGCCTTGGGCCCCCCGGCCATCCTCCACTGCATCCCTAGCCAACAGTCACCTCTGCCTTCAGCCGCTCGATATTGATCTCCCCATCTTCGATCTGCTGCCATAGCTGCTTGGCCAGTGTCTTCTCCGGCTCCATGATCTACAGCAGGTGCAGGTACTTCTGAATCAGTGCTTCACGTTCCCTGGCCAGGTTCTGGTAGCTGTGCACAGACAGACATGGTAAGACACTACATTCTTGTCCACCAGAGATCCAACCAGAAGTGGGGATCCCCCACTGACTGCAGTTAGGAGAAGGTCCTGTCTCCCAGACATGGTGTGTGTCGCCTTGACCTGGCTGCTGTGCTGTTACTGACTGCTCTGGACCCTTCTCCAGCTCCTGTCTCACACTCTGACCTCTGGTTCCTCTAAGTGATGCTGTTCTCTCCCCTCCCCCTCCAATCCACCCCCGGGCCTTTGTACAGGCTCACTCTCTTGTTAGGGGTAAAGCATCTGGTGACTTTAAGTTAAAGTGAACGCTCAAATGGAACAACAATGCCTGGATGACAGCACATCTGGTTACAAGCTGGTTCACTGAATATTTTGAGCCCACTCTTGAGACCTACTGCTCAGAGAAAGAGATTCCTTTCAAAATATGACTGCTCACTGGCAAGTGCTGTGGTTCCCATGTAGAGACTGATGCTGGTGTGTGCCCCCCTCCACACACACACAGAAGTTCGGAAAAGTCATATGACTCACATAATAGAGGTCTCCTAGGAGAGCAGGACCAGAATCTCAAGCAGCTCTGAAATGGCTTGAGAGAGCAAGGAAAGGAGCCTGGCCTGGTTTTTTACTGTGGTCGGAGGTTTTAAAGAAAAAATATTCAATGACACTTGTCAAAGATGGTAAAGCATATTTTATTCAGAACCACTGTGATATGTAGAGACCTCCGGAATGGGATTCAAAGCAAGGGAGAAATGAGATTGGGCTCGACTCTGAGTGCAGCATGGGCAAGTGGCAATTCAAGGCCAGGCAGCATGGTGGGGGTCAGGGGATGAAAAATTACTAAGAGAAAAAACAAGTGTTAGGGTTTCTGGCTAACCTGCCCTAACAAGATTCTTACACAAGACAGGCCAGAGTGATCAGACACCACCTGAGGCATGGTGGAGGGGGAGGAGGAGCCTGAGCAGATCTAGAGGGTGATCAGACATACTGGTGGGGGTTCTGGTTAAACTGACTTAGTAAAGTTCTTGCTAAAACTAGATTTTACAAGGAAGTACACAGACAGGCCTAGGAGAAGGCTCAGGAGCCTGACTAAAGTTTAGTCAAAGCAAGAGATCTTTGCCAGGATGAGACCAGGGCAAGCGTTCTGCACACAGACAGGGGCCTGTGTGGTTGGATGCGAAGCCAATGCCAGAGAAGGGAGCCTCTGGACTTTCTCCCCTCTTCTCCTGGTGTAAACACGAGGGGAAGAAGGAGAAGACAGCAGTAAGATGTCAGCACACATCAAAAAGTGTGGAGTCTGACCGCTTATTAAAAGGACCAACATGCGTACAAAAATATGCATTCACAATGGCTTCTTTTTATATAAAGAAACACCATCAGGAAGCCTAAGAAAGATCATAACTGTGTACTTGGGTTGGCTGGAGTACCAGCACTGGAGGGGACCCAGAAATATTGGCAGTGACTCTTCTGAGGTTAGACTTTTCTATCTTACAGATTTATCTAATATAAACAGAGAAATTTACACATACCATGTTTTCCCATTTAATAGTTTTTCTTTAATTTTAACTTTTGTACATAGGACACCATTCTAAGACTTAATTTCTTTAGCACACTAACAATTGCAAAAGAGTAACGATACAAAACGAAATTTTCATACCTCTTGCTAACTAAAAGGACAAACTGCATCTTAGTTTGTCCTTCCACTGTATCTCACACAGGTAGTATTTTCAGGAATCAGTGGCATATTATAATGCAATAGGTGTTCGGGTTTAGCTCCTTAAACATAGTAGGATTAGTTTGACTAGTTTTCCTCATATCAATTAAAATAGAAATTCCATTGTTGTAGCTTTTTACATCTCAATGTTCTCTAGGGACATGCACACGCAAACACTGATGTAAAAATGAAAACTGCACCAGAAAACTTCAACACATTCATTTCACATCTTGAGATTCTCTTGCCTAAAAAGAACAAAAATTCTATTTAGTTTCACAATTTTCTTGACTTACTGACATTATATCTCTCCATCAATTCACATTTTTAAGCCTAAGAAACTCAAAATGTTATTTCTCATACAGGAAATAAAATTACAAAGAGCTAAGGGAAACCAGATGCACAGGGCTGCACTGTTCAAGTGATCCAGGATTCCAAAGGAAATAAACACAAATATTGGAATCAGCACAGATAAGCAGCCTGTTTCCCAGGGACAGAATGAAAGCCACATTCAGAAAGTTAAAGACATTCTAAACTCTCCTGGTAGAGACAGAAGCCCTGGAGTGGGTCAGTTCCTGGTGCAGAAGGGTGGGGACACCTAAGCAGCCACAGGAATGGACTCTGGGAGCTCACACACCCTCCTCTGCCTGCGGAGGAAGAGAAGGGCACCCTCTCTCAGCTTCCACTATCACAAGTGAGGAGACTGTCAGAAGGATGCAGTTTAAGGTTGTGACTCAAATGAACTCTAAATTAATAAACCCTAATCCACAAACAGAATTCCTGACTTTCACAGACTTTCTCAATGTGCACAAATTACAGTCTGTGTGTACCTGCACTATGGGTACAAAACTCCACCCTACATGTAGACACAGGCCCAAAGGGAAAACAGGGACGACCTCAGGAAGGACAGCAACCCCCAGCCCCTGTGCAGGTGTCTTCACAGCTTTCCAGGGCTCTGTAGCGTCTCTCAGCAAACAGGCTCCTTCTGCGGTGGGTATGAGCAGGGAGGACACCCAGGAAGAACGTGTGGGACCTCAAGTACTTCCCTGTGCAGACTCAAAGGGGGCTTTGCTTAGAGAACCTGACCCCAGGCCTCTTCTCTCAGTCACGTTGCTTTGGACCACAGTGATCTTGTAAATGGCACAACCCAGTGTTTGAAGAATCCAGCAAACTCGCACAAACCTATGGTTTACCTGGAAAGGAGGGAAGAAAGTTGTAAAGCGTTTTTCTAGTTCAACAAGAAAAGCCACATGTATTTATTACTTTCAGAAAATAATATTAATTAATTGTTATTTCCATGGCAAGACACTGTTTTATGAACAATTAATCATACTTAACACTTTTGCTGTTCAAATGTAAGCACTGGAATTCCATTAGAATACACCCCATCCCAAAGAAAAGAACAGACCTCAGAATATGACTACACACGCTCAGGGGAGGCAGAAAGGGAAACAAGAATTTTTAACACATTCAGTGTAATACTGGAGTCTTTTAGTTTTTTCTGAAATTTACCTATTTCTTGCCTCTTTGGAAATATATTTTACTGCTTTTCAAGCCCACTGTTTACATAAACTTTAACTTTTGGAAATCTAAGGGTCAACTAAGTGAATAAATCTTTTGAAGGTGACAAACCCAGTGAGGGGCAATGCTGACAGGCCAGAACACCCAAGAAAGTTTGCACAGAGGAACCTCCACTCCAAGGCCTTCCCGTAGGATGTCTGTGCTTGGAGAGAGCCTGGGAGGGGCACAGGGACTTCATATGATGGATTCCAGGCGGTCATTTTCTCCTCTCCTCTCGTGGAAGAGTTACAGACAAAATATAAATCTCACAGTCAACTCAGCCAAAACCAAACTCCCAACAGCTCCCCACCAAGTAGTACCTCCCCAAGTCTCCCCAGCTGAGGCTCTTATTTCTTAGCTCAGGCTATAAACTCAGCACCAACTTCAAATCCTACCT